TTGATTAGTCTATCGATGTCTATATTATGAATGATAATGCGATTCGAAAAAACCAACTATTATTTTTAATTATTCTATAGATAATTTGTTGGTGTAAATTTCAATTATGCAACAGTATGAAATCAATCAAACGCATACATCATTAAAACTACACATTGCACGATATAAGATTATATCATTTCAAATGTCTATTAGTTATGCGTAAATAATTTACACTATACAGGTGGATCAGAATAAAAATTACGTAGATACTTACAAAAAAGTGTACGTTTTTATAGTAATTTTCTTGACGATTACCGAGTACTTTCGTTTTTTATTAGTAAATGATCAACGTACTTATGAGTTTATATTTATGACTTTTTTTTTTTATTACCATACATAATGGTTCGAAAAAACGTAAACGCTCTATTACTTTAAATATTTATACATTATATCAATGGTTGGAGAAATACACCATCTCATTAGGAAATTTATAATTTACTAGGGTTTATAGGCGCGATAGCCACACATTATAGAATCGGAATGAATTGTAAGTTTTTGAAACGATTGCAGGTATTATAATAACTGTATTTAAGCAATTAATTCACTAGTTCGGGTTACACTATTTTTAATATTTTATAACGCACGTGATATTATGTAGGATGAGCCTATAAACGTTTAAAGCCTTAGGCTTGACGACTTAAGCCGGTCAAACATTTATTACATACTTTTGAGGGTTATTAATGAACGAACAAGTATTTAAATATATATGCCGCGTGTATTGTAAAAAATAAAAAATAAATAAAATTGTAATCATTAAATAAAATATAACTCGTGTAGTTTCAACCGTCGCATTGGTCAGTAAAACCGCGTGTTCTACTTATAACCAGACTTCAATCATTTTATGAGCTATTATACGAAATATATATTGAGCAATGCGATCGCGTGATAAAGATAATAATATTATGAAACGATAACTCATATGAACTCGATGTGCGTGCTTATATATATATATATGCATGTATTTCTTATTTTTGTGGTTAGTATTATTATTGTAATAGGTTTCCGCGAGTGATTTGAAGTCTCGGAAAACAATATTTGTATACAGCGGTACTATGATCTTATTCTACGCGTTTTGTCAGAATTATAAAAACTTAAATAGGTAATTGCCTTACGAGTTATACATAATATGGCTAATATGGCTTGTGTGTGTGTAGATACTGTTGCGAGTTTGCATGTTTAATGGGTAAAAGTTGCACTATACGATTATTATCAGTGCCGGATTACCCATTAGCCGGAGTAGCCGCTCGCCTTAGGGCCTCACTCATGAGGTGCCCTGCGAAAACGGAAAACTATACTTTTTTTATTTAATAATACCTGTATTTTATTAACGAATTCACGGGACAAAAGTCATTGTGAAATATAATATATATTATGTTGTTAGTATTATGTGCAGTAATAATAATACAATTATTTTGAAAAAAGTAGAAATAACATAATAATTAATTAATTTTTCTTGCAAATAAAATAATTAATAAACATGGTTTTATTCATTAATAATAGTTGGTTATTATTGAAGCTGTTTATTTTAATTATAGGATAGTAATGTTAAAGATGCATGTAAAAAATAATATTGCAGGACCTAACATTTTAATTGCCCAAGAGCCCACAAATGTTTGATTCGACACTGATTATTATACTTATGTACACGCGCTCTGTAGAATGTTATATTCGGGATGAAATAGTAACACACTGCAGCGGCGCGGGTTCAATCGCAAGTAATGCGTATACGTCGTTTAATAATTATAATTACGCTGATCAAATAGGTATACTGGGCGATATGTACGATCCGGGATAAAATCTCACGTCTGCGAAAGTGTACCTGTACGATTGTATTGGTGAAACAGGTAATACGAGCATTACGCATGTGTATACCTATGTGTAGTTATGAAAATGTATACCCGTGTAAATCTGTTCGTCTTACCCCGAAGGATAACTGTACCCAGTAGGGCGTTGAAAAATGGATTTTCAAGGAGCCAAAAGTGAATCTTCCGTGTCATATCAGATTTCCCTTTTCGGTATTACCGTAATATTACCGTAACGGTGCGTCGTACTTGCCCTTCCCACGCGTGTGAAACCACCGGTAAAACGTGTAGTAGATACTGCGTAATCTCGGAATGTCAAACGAAGAAAACGCGACGCCGGTGCGTATGCGACCGGAGTTCCGATTAATCGACACGAGATAATCGCATCGTATTTTCACTGTGACGACGATTATATTATTATTTTTATTGGCTTCATCGGTGACGTCTGACGATAGTGTCAAGTTGAAGGCCAACGGTGCCGCGCGTTACAGACGTGTCAATTCATCCATATACAATCGTGAACGGTTTTACAAACATTATAAACGCGCATATTGTGTACAAAGAGCAACCGGTAGAACAGTGGTAGATAAATACTCTTTACGCTCGGCGAATTCAGTGGTTGGAAACAACGATGACAACGAAGATTCCTAGGGTTACGCAATACGTCATCGCTAAATGTCTCTAGCGGATAAATCCGCTACGATTATGGGACGGGGAGAAAAACGATTTTTTTTTTTTTTCAATATTTTGGGCGTACAGTTTAATGTATACCCGTAAACGAAAAAGGAAAAAAGATTACGTAATGCTATATGTTAGTTGGAGAAAAAACAACATTTTGCTTTAGGGCTGTTTCAAAAGTAACATGTAGGTTGAGGAAAGTATATTATATTATGTATATGTATAATTGTATAAATAAATTTATGATTTTTTTATTTTTTCTAATTACGTAACCTACGGAAACCTGCTGCGAGCCCTAAATTATATTGCACACGTGCCGCCAAAAGCGTACGTACACATAGAAAAATATGCATAATATACATACATTATATACTCACGAGTGTTCACTTATGTGTATCAATTGATCCTAATCTTGCTGGGTCGGGTCAAGTAGAGTGCCTCCTTTATTTTTTTTTTCGACTAAACCGCGATAACAATGAATGTGTTAAGATTGTCTCGTTAAGGCGCTATTGTGATTACCTATACGTTAGAACTGGGTCGATTTTCGTAGCTGGTAAAAAGATCGACGTTAAATCGTTCTATATGAATCGTCTGCACGACTGCGGTCCAAAAACGACACAGAAATCAGTCGGTGTAACTACTATATATGATCGTGGCTCGCGTGATATTGGTTTTTGTCGAAACATCGATCTATTGCATATCAGACCCAGAGAAATCCGTTTCGCAAGTTCCACGATCGATTCTGGCGCGCGAGAAACATGAACGTGAGGAGGTCAAAGATCTTATCCATCATACGGGTAAACCTATTTAACTTTAAACCGTATAATAATTTATTATATTGTGACGGATTAAAATGTCTGATGACTGCGATCGTTACGTTCGTGCGCGTTACTATCGTCTACACTTCATTAGTATTAACATTACCCACCGAAAGTGTGATCATTCGAACACCGTGGAGTTCTGAACCCAAATAACAACACATGTATGCTAATCAATTACGTAGCGCACCCAGAAAATATTACCGCACTGCCGACCGGCTTCGCAGCCGACTTGAAACTTTCGATCATTATTAATCAATAATCCATTTCGACAATTATAATATTTATAATGTTGTGTAAATAGGAATCGAAACGATTTGCAGATATGTCAGGACTGTATAGTAACATTATTATTGATGTTATATTTCGTTTCACCATTACACGTGAAATCTTTACTTTTGACAAGCTTTTTCAGAAAATCAACACCAATCCGGTTTTGGTCGTGTAGCATAGGTAAACACTTTCATTTATTGCCCTATATATAGTTGCGATTGGCTAATAAAACGTAAGAGTAATGAAAGTAATTATTGGCCGTCCCAGTGCAAAGTGACCGATTGTGTATGTGTACGCTCGCTCGCATAGCTGCAATAAGGAAGTCGTTCGTCGTGTGCATGAAAATACGATAGGGACCTATGGAATTATAATTGGCCACGCGTAGAAGATCGGTTCGGTTATGGGCTAATAAAAGGTTTAAATCTCGCTTACACTTACGTGAATTCGTTCCCCCGAGGGACATTGAATGAGAATGCCTGTGCTCGCTATAAGACTAGTATTTAGACATTATCGTTTTTAAAATGGTAATCATTACAGATAGTAGTCCTGTTCGTATTAAGGTTAACGTAAACGGTATATATTATTTGGCATTGGACCAAGAGAACACTATAATGTAGTGTAGGTACGAATCGTTGTATGAGCCGATCGACTGACGATCAATCACATCACAGCATAATAATGCATTTATTGTAATCGTATCAAGTTTCAACTGTTTAACTTTTATATTCAACATTAGACGGCCTTAGTATACTTCCATACCACTATGAGTGACTATTTTTTACATTACACGAGCTTATTGTTGATTTACAATATTGATTTTGATTCTTAAACTTTTACGGATTTGCGGAAGTTCGGTATAATGTGTTTGTGTGGCGTGTACCAATGTTGAAACCTATTACCATACGCTCTGCGTGGTCGGCGATCGTTGTTTCATTAATATTCGGTTAATTCATATTGTCCGAATCGCATATAGGCATCGGACTCTAAACGCTTGTGTTTGCCCTGATCGATTAGTGATTACGAAACGTCGTCGGTGCGTAACCTTGACACTGCGTCACTTCTAACCCACAACCTCCGGCAGAGGTTTTTTTTATCATCGAAAACACTAAATGGTTAAAAAATGATTATTGGTCTTGGTATAATTTATTGATTTTTCACTCGTTGTTATGCCATATTATATATGCTATGTTATATTCACACAGTACAAACAAATGTGTTTATCACGAATATGTATGTATATATATATGTAGGATATACTCGCATAATAATTATCAATTACAATAAACATGTAAGCGACGTTTTGTAATGAATGAAGGCGAAACTTGTTACATATAGGTAGTGACATAACTAGGTTACTGTAGTTTTTTTTTTTTTTTTTTTTGTTGAGGTGAACCAGCTGCTAACTAATATTATCACTTACACGAGGCGCCGACCACAAGGTAGGTAGTAGCTTTGGACGATAAATATTTTCGGTTGTCAAATATTTAATCGAGAATGTCGAACACATTCAGTATGATAATAATGTACGATTGAGTCTTCAACTGTATAATATGTATATTTTTAAATCGTACATCTATTAAATAATAATGTACACCAATGAAAAAATTCCCTTGTCTCTTTTCTTCCCGAACAAATATGAATATAATAGCTCAATACATAATATTAAAATTTAATAAATTATATATTCTTATGACAATCGTATTCAAGATAAATACCATTTGATGAAGCGTAAAATATTTCTTAAAATCGAGTCATTGTGTTTACTTTTAATTCCTCGGCCTAGATTCGCTGCAAGGGAATACAGTCAAGGACAGAGTACATACGCGACTTTACATTTTTAATCCGTTCACAATTTTAGTATTAAGAAGGTCCACATAACACAATATGGTTAATGTATATTTAAAATCATTTTTGGTAAATATATAAACAATTCGAACGATGTAGAAGATACAATGGCGCAATATATATACAGGTACATACTATAATACGTAAACGATATTTACTGCTTATTCGAACCCACGTGATTGATGATATGGATGATATAATGAAACTGGTTTTTTATATTTTACATCCAGAATGTCAGTTATTTTATATGTAATATAATGTTAATTTATAATATCATTGATAGGTCCAGAACAGAACTTGAGATACATAATGAATTACGGAAGTCAATTATTGAATCATTGAACCTAGTATGAAACTTGAAATAACGTTCTAAATTGCTTAATTTTCAGTAAATAACTTTACAGCTAAAAGTCTAAATACAAATAAAGTAGATTTAAAATAATAAAATAATTGACCTAGCCAATTATTATTAATTTTTAATAATTAAACTAAAGTGTAATATTTTCATAGATGATTTTATTGATAATAATTATATATATTATATAGTTTTTATATTGTCACAAGAACTTTTTTCACTTACTAATATTTGCTTTAAAATTTTTTTATCGTTAAAAATTCTCGAATAAAAAAATACTTTAATGATTAAATTGTATAGGTGTTCATATTTCCTGGTTAAAAAGTATTATTAAGTAACACGAACGACTATTGCATGATCGAGAGCAGTCTACACAATGACTTCAATGCGAGTATTTAAATTGAATCATACAACGCGTGTGTCTGAAATTATTAATCGAACGGGATTCGACATAACAATACAATAAACGGATGAACTGTTTATATCATGTGATAAAAGATGAATTATTTTTCTTACATACACATATTACGATTGTGTAACAACTTGACGTTTCGATGTAATTATTATACAACCTACATAAATGGTGTAGCGGTTTTCTTCAGAGCAATACAATTTGAGTCGGTAAACAGTTTATACGCGTTTGACGTACCTATTCGCAACAATCTAAATGGGTATAGATTAACTACGTTTTGTAGCCATTTCCGTGGAACTTTATCAAAACGCGAACGTTCGACGCACTCCGTATAGCACCTGGGCTTAAAATTTCCAATTGTTTGTACTACAAATTAAATTTTAAATAAGTTAAAATTGAACCTTCCGAAAATCGATTTTAATGTATCATATTATAATGATGTAACTTTTTCCGTGTTCAGTTATACGATATTTGTTTACTTAACTGTTTTTGCGATTTCGACGAAGGGTAAGATTTTATAAAATTTCGTAGTTCGTACACCTATTTTTATTCTGTACACAAAATGCGTCGAAGCTCGCAAAATGTTAAACCCTAAACACCTCCTATTTCTATGCAATGCAAAACTAATGAATATTTAGCATTACCGTACAATAGTATTGTTCGTGTGGAAATCTAAGCTCAAAAGTCGCAATCGCAAGAGACTGCGGGGTGTAATCTAAACACACGATATGCGCACACCGATCCACGTCAATACTCATGTCGTACACAATAGTCAGTGCATAACTAGTAAAGTGCAATGCGAACGCAAACACCTGCACACACGTGTTATGTGGAAACATCATGGGCATACATTATCGTGATCATCTAAAATCGTAGATCTTGTCGGCGACGCGCGTGATATAACAATGCGTCGTCGTGTGACGATAATTAGGTGTATGTGTCGCACATTCCGCGACGCAGATACCGAACGGTCGTAATAAAATATGGCCCCGGCTGCAATGCGGCGCGTTTAACGACGACGAAAATTATTATTATTACTATTATTAATGTAGAACACAGAGTCGAAAAAAAAAAAAAAAAACACACCCAAATCGCGGGTTAATCGCCCTTGACATGAATATTAATAGTCGCACGACATTATTATTATATTTAGTTAGGTACATATTTATTCTATGTCTGAGCACTATAGACGTGATTGTATTATTGTTCTTTAGCACGAAATATTTTTATAGCACCACCGTAGGCGCCGTTTCAGATCGAAATCGTGAGGTTCTACGACGAAGTAAAATAAAATAAAAATCTATTAATTTCTTCACTTGTTTTAAATCTCGATAAAATGGGTGAAAGTATATAATTTGAACGTCGGACAAATTTAGCAAAATCAATAATTGCTATATCATCATTGCAATCGTAAATCAACATAATATATCTGTTATATCAACATGCGTGTATGTATAGTTAAGAGGTTTGACTTTGAAATCTTGAAATTCATTTCGAAATAAAAATAAAAACTACCCTAACACAAACCACTAACCTCTCTCTTCACCAACCGCCTTCCATACCTAAGTGCCTTTTAAAAACCAATGCATAAGCTGATGTTAAAAAATACCATGGTTAATATTGTGTTAAATAGGATAGTCGTTAACATAACAGTTGATTTATTATTCGTGTCGGTTTTACAGATGACGGCGAGCAAAATGATCGTCTTCGTGACGGCAAGTCTCTTCTGTACGGCCGCAGCTATATACCATCAACCATCGTACTATCCGGCTGCCGATCCGTTCAACTATACCGCCGGTAAGTCACAGAAACTGTTTAAGATAACTCTAATTGCATAAATAATTACGTTTTGCGTGTGATTCAAGGTTATCTACCCCAAGAATCCTACGGAAATCCCGCGGTTGTAGCATCTCCATACCATGCACCACAACCCGGTTTCGGTTTCGCGCCGGCTTCTGGTTTTGGACCACGTCCAGGACCGAACAAGTGAGCGGTGGCTTCTTGCCTAGTGCATTCAAGTCATTTATAATTTTGACTATTACCAAATTGTTTTGCGTACTTTTAGTTTTGGTGAAATACCCACGGCTCCACAAGGTGCTGGATGCCAGCCACCAGTTGGCCCTTGCCCCAACAGCAAATACAGGACCATCGACGGATCATGTAACAATCTTAGGTACTCCAACTGGGGTATTCCGAACTCCAAGTATGCTAGACTTTTACCACCCAAGTACGCCGACGGTGAGTTTAACTAAAAATATAATAACGATTACAGTAATTTAATTTACGAGTATCTAGAAGTTATTCGAAATGGATTACATAATATATCAATACAATTAATTTTTAAATATTTTTAGTTTCGTATAAAAATAACTGTTACTGTTTACAATAGTTTCGCATTCAATTTTCTTATAAATTAATTTTTTATTCTTATTATAAAACCATTAATTTCATGTCCATGTCATAAAATGTGGAATATAATATAAAGTATAATGTAATGTTGAATTTGACATTGGAGAATCATCATTACGCAACTGAACAATCAACACACATTATTACTTAAATCCTTTATATCTAAATTATTTAAATTATTTTGAAAATCAAATTTTTTTACGTAGATTCTTATAACTATATACATTTTTTTTTCAGGTATCCACGCTCCACCAACATCTGTTTCTGGTGAACCACTGCCCGGTTCTCGTCTCATTAGTATTGTTATGTTCCCAGACGTCCCCATCCCTGATCCAGTATGGACACTGATTACCATGACCTGGGGTCAAATTGTTACTCATGATATGTCTATGTCTATGGGTACCACACAAGCAAGTACGTAAAATACAGTAATATAAGATTCTTTAATTTAATGTGGATGGTATAATCATGTTTACCTGATACTTAAAGCGAACCTAATGAATAAGTGTAGGTGGTCATTTTTTCTTTTACTTATGTAAAGCTTCTAGCGGAGAAAGTTATTTTTTTCTATGTTACACTATTGATACGGCTAACTGCGTTTTAAGAAGATGATATTACGCACATTACGAGTTGAGGTACGCGCTATAAATTTGTTGAAATTAATATATTTATAATATATATTTTTAGACCAAACCTCCTGAGACTTGCTGGTATTGCAATCCAAACCAGTCTACTCGGCTTCCTAGTTGAAAGTGAAATGAATGTCTGCCCTCAGGCAATAGAACATTTATTAAATCCTGTGAGGATTATATGTGCAAGTGGCATGACACATTTACGTATTACAATATTTTCATACCTTAATATATTTTATGAAATTAGTAAAATACTGAAATCAATATCACAATAGCGCTCAGCACATTAGATCTATAGTCTTTTTTATAAACATAAATCTTCGAATGTACACATGTTTTTTATTCAACTTCTTTTTCATAACCCATCATCTGCTCATCGTGTACACGAGAAGATTTAACAACAATAAGAGCTGTTGGTAATAATGATTTCGTGACTGTAGAATTTAAACAGCAATATACTCGTATTTCAAAGCCGTTGTCACGTTGTTGTATTCCGGTTAACGTGCATGGTTTTATACACACGCGTTTAAGAATTAACTCTTGCCAAAAGATTAAACTTAACATGCTCGAACGCAAGTGAATCATGTCAGCCATTATTTTATAACTAATGATTCAAAATCAAATTCAAATTAAACTGTTTTCCGTGTTGGTCAAAGACTAACATCAATATGGTTATGAAATTGAATTCGTGAAATACCCATGCTATGTAATTTACGTGCAGTTATTACTCTTAAATTCTCGATGAGACATTCTCCTTTTGGCGGATTAACTAATAATAATTATTGTTTTCGTGATCGGTTAAAACACTTTAAAGTGTACCATGCAATTTTGTTGACAGAACGTCATTCGATCAGATGTTGCGATGATAACGGCCGTCTGTTGAGTAATAACCCGGATGTGCACTGTTTCCCAATCACCATCCCCGAAGACGATCCCGTGTTCTCTAAATTCAACAGGGAGTGCATGAACTTTGTGCGTTCGACTACTGATCAAGAAACTGGATGCAACCCAGGAAACAAACCGGCCGAACAAGTAATTATAAATCTATTTCAATTAATTTTTACCTATATAGGTGTATTTAAATTTTAATTAGGTGTACATAAACAATATACCTAACGAACAAATTATGTATGTCTTATCAATGTACATGTGATACTATTTTACGGCACATCGATTTTAAATTTATTCATTTTTATTTTAATACTTTAGTTAGTTGTTGTATCGCACTGGATGGATGCTTCTTTCGTTTATGGTTCAAACCAAAGGTTAGCCGACACACTCCGTGAAGGTATCGGTGGTAGATTGAGGGTAGAATTCAGGGATGGAAGACCATGGCCGCCAGCAGCAGCCAACAAGAGTGCCGTATGTGATCAACAAACAGACGAAGAACCATGTTACCAATTCGGTTAGTATTTGTCATTTGTATTTATATATCTACATAGTAAATATATAAAAATAACAACGCAAAATAACTAATACCATATTATTGTTACAGGTGACCGAAGAGCTAACCAGAACCCACAGTTGACTGTCTTGCAAATCCTTTTCCTCAGAGAGCACAACCGTATTGCTACAGTTTTGTCACACGTAAATTCTCATTGGGACGATGAAACTTTATATCAAGAAGCCAGAAGAATATTGATTGCTGAATTCCAACACATTAATTACCATGAGTGGCTTCCTATTATATTGGGAACCGACAATATGTTGAAATACGGTTTGTTGTACAAGAGCAAAGGATATACAAACGATTACAAAGAAAACGTCGACCCAAGTGTCATAAATGCTCACGCTCACGCTGCTTTCAGATACTTCCATTCATCCATCCAGGGACAATTCCAGTAGGCTTATATTGTATGTATATCGAGACTGAAATTAATTAATATTTATATTTTAAAGTTTGATCGGCGAAGACCGTAATTTACTGACTGCAGTTCGATTGTCAGATTACTTCAACCGACCAACCATCATTGAAAAAGGATACAACTTCGATCATTTGTCAAGAGGTCTGACAACACAGAGCCAAGAAGAAGTCGACCCATTCTTCACTAGTGAAGTAATTTAATACATACCTATTTGATACGTATAAATATTATATAATTACGTTTGTTTTATTTATAGATTACCGACTTCTTATTCAGAAATGGTCGTCCATTCGGTCGCGACTTGAGAGCTATTGATGTACAAAGAGGCCGTGATCATGGTCTTGCATCATACAACGACTACAGAGAATTTTGTGGTCTGCCAAGAGCACACAAATTCGAAGACTTCTCCGATTACATCGATGTTGAAGTAAGTTCTTCTATTATAACTTTTATTTCATTAATAACTTTTCTTTTCTTTAGCGCATTGAAAAACTTGCTCTCCTTTACAATCACCCAGACGATGTCGACCTTTCTGTTGGAGGTTCTTTGGAAGCTCATGTACCAAATACTTTGGCTGGACCTACATTCTTATGCTTATTAACTGAACAATTTTACAGAACTAAAGTTTCTGATAGATACTTCTATGAGTTGGGAGGACAAGCTGGATCTTTCACACCAGGTAATACATTTAAAAATTGATGATAATGAAATATATCATTCTAATAACGTTTTTATTTTAATTAACTCAGAACAACTAAGCGAAATTCGTAAAGCTAGTGTGTCAAGAATTTTCTGTGACAACAGTGATGATTTACACACAATCCAACCTCAAGGTTTCTTGAAGATTTCTGAAAAGTAAGTAGTTGATAATTAAAATAAGTAATTATATTGTTTATTTATAATTAAATTATTTATTATTTGTAGGAATCCTTTGGTAAATTGCAATGATTACGACAGAATTCCATCAATTGACCTCAACTACTGGAAAGAAGAACCATACAGCCATGGAGCTCCACCATATGGTTACCAAGAAAGTTACAAAAAATAAAAAACCAAACAAACAATTACCTGTAAATAATATTCATTTTCTTCCATAAGGTTTCTTTAATTTCCTTACTTTCCATCTTTAGATTCTTAATGTTCTTTAAAATATCTTTAAAGATTCATAATTTTTAACGCTCAAACCATATTTTTACGTATATTAATTATTATTTAATTGTTTTATTTTACTTAATACAAGTATTATGTATATAAGTATGTTTATACTTATGTCATTAGTTTGTATTCCATATTGTGTATTTGTATGGAAAAAGCAGCAAACTTAGAATTGCTACCACAACCTCTATAATATTATTTAAGTACCATAGTGTAATTAAATAATACAAATTATATATATGTAAACTCAAAAATAACAATGTATTATAAAATATTTAATGTTTTGTCAAAATCAATTCAAATCTGTTAAATTAAGTAGTTATCCATTATCCAGCGGATAACACAATGCATATTCTTGTAAAGAGCATTTTTCAAAATTAGTTGTTTGAATGTAGATAACTACAATTATTATGTAATTTTATAATTAAAATTAAGCACATTTTAATACAATTATACACAGCTAAATTCAAGACATACATTTGTATTATACATTATTAGACAAATAAAAATACAATAAAGCAAAAACTATGTTCTTAAATTGCAGTCTATTTACTAATTATATTATTAAATACGGTTTGGGTGGCGAATGTTTCGTAGATTGAATCTGTGGCAACATATTTACCACTTATTATTTCTTCAAAAATTGGTTTAAGAAAAGCATGAGATTCTCTGACAACTGTTTCTCCAGTGTTCATCTAGAAATAATAATTATAATTATAATATACAAATTAAAATATACAATGAAAGGTTATTTTACCTCCCAGTCACAAAAACGGATTCCAGTACAATACGATCGAGATGCTCTACCAATAACCGCAGACATAGCATAAATGTGTACGATTATGGTAGACAATCTTTCCATAAGCATTTGATTGTCAATATTTAGTTGACCAGCAACCTGATTCTGATCAATAGCATATTGAAATTTCAGTACACAATATTCAAGAAAATCTGCCGAATGCTAAAATATACATAAATGTGAATTAATCAAGCACAGAGTGAATAACAAAGACTTATAAAATTACCATAAGTGCAGGATGTAGGTATTGTTGTAAACCATATTTTAAACTTGGTGTATCTCTTTTCATCATTAGATTTCTATAAGCAAGAGTAAGGAATGAAATATTATCTTCATATTTCGATTGATGGAAAAATTCTACACCCCGACAACTTATAAAATTGGCTAATTTACTAGTTTCTTCCAAACTTTCAACTAAATCTTCTACATCGTTACATAACGATGAAAACCGCTCTCTAACTGAATTTCTTCCATATAACATTTTTAACTCTGCCAATATAGTATTAACTGTTTGACGAGCAAATAGTTGTATCGCAGCTGTTTCTACTTCGATATCTGGATCATCAAATCCATCAGTCATCCATGTGGTTAAATATATCATACTTTCAATTGTATATATGTTTATAACTGAGTTTGCTAATATTTTAATAACAGAATCGTAATCTCTTAATTTTAGATTTAATCTAGTTTTTGGTAATACATACAATATGGTTGACTCTACAACTTTTTTCATTGCACTTATCATTAAAGAACATGTATATAATTTACCTTTTTCCAAAATTTTTGTAATATCTACATTGTCTAAAACATCATCGGACGAAACAACAACTTGCCTTAATTCCAAATTTAGGCCATCAACAAATGCCTTATCCTTTTCAACTATAAAAGCTTTTTTTCCAACTATGAAAAGTGAATATACATTTGATGCATTTTTTACAGAACCTGTAAGTTCCCAGCTTTGATTTGGAAGTATTGTAGCTTTAACAGTATTATCATGTAAAGAGCAAATAGCGCCAGATGCTAATAATGGTAAATATTTAGATCTTTGATTAGGGGTACCAAATGACTTAATAATGTCAACAGCAAGTGTATGGTCATGTACTACCTTAAACATATTACAATCAAAGTGTTCAAAGACTCTAGAAATTTCAGTTATAGTTAGGTTGAGTCCAGAAGTAGGATACGGAGCACTCATGCCAAACAATCCTAATTGTCGTATGGTATCAATTTTAGTGCAATTATTTTGTATTTGTTGCACTCTGGATTCTAAATCTCTATGCCTTTCAAGATTGAGCGTTTCTGGATATGTAAGAACTTCAATATCATACTGACCAGCATAAATTGATTTTAAAAATGGTAGACGTGATGGTTTTCTCACTATGTCCGGAACAGGTACTGGTTTTACTTTATCAAGTCCATATGAATTATTCGTCGACGTGCTTCGAATAATAAATAAATTAAATGTTCTGGGTAATAGACGGCAATTAATAACATTCCACATCGCTGTATAGAAAATACGCTGAACAAATTTAAATTGTTAATGCATAAAGGTAAACATAAAGGTAAAGGTAAACAAAGTCACAACGATGTTGAAGAAAAAAATAATTACAACAACTCTAGAAGAATGTAAATAAAATTATTAAATAGTAAATTATATTGCATGATATAAATATATAAAAAGCTTTTGAATTTACGTTCAGTAAATCACTATTTAATGTGACTTCAGAAATTTAGAAGTAACCAGCGGTGGAAAGTTAAGAATTTTAATACTAAATAGTGATAATATTCGCGATAACAGTTAATGATAAGAACCGGTTGAAGATAAGAATCTATACTAACAGTTTTTTCCGGTATGGCAGCATAGACCTATAAATGTGCATGCATTGCTCTGGAAAACGCGGACAGTTTGAACTACAGGCAGTGCCGTAACTAGAAGTTGGCGACATGGGCGCAATAAAAGGGCGCATTTGAGTTAAATTAAAATTGGTTTTTTTTTTTTTTATAACGATTTTTTTTCACATATATTATTTAAAGTTGTATTAAAATTTAATGCAATTGTGTAATGCATAAACATTATATACTGGATCGCGCCTTGATGATGTTTATTTATTAGCGTTTACTACTTTTACATTTGTATTATATACTGATGTATATTATTTTATTTTTGTGTAGGTATATGATATGTATGGGCCATATGGGCACGAACGGCTATAACAATGATTACCACAAACGACCGGTTTACCCGATTATTTAACTAATATGACAGCATATACCTTACCTTATAATATAATATCTATACAAATTTAAGACTTACATAATATTAACAATCTATTATAACTCATTAACTATAAAGACTCAATTATTTAAAAAATATAGCGACATTTTGATTAACACGTAAGAATGTTATATTATTACATTTATATAAAAATTATACCTATAAAATAAAACAAAAATAAGCGCCAAAATAAAATTCGCCAAGGGACGCCACGGAGGGTAGTTATGGCACTGACCACAGGTTGCAATGTAGAAATCCAGTTCTTACATTTCACTCAGGACCGGATTTTTTCAAATATATTATTTTATGTATTACAATAAGCTTATTTAGGAGAATGTGATATTTTTTTTTTTTAACACATTTAAAATAACTATCATAAATTTATTAGTATATTATATTAAATAAAATATATTTTTCTGAAAATTATTGAATACTATTATACAAATCTAATAAGTTACAAATTTTTGAAATGTATACAACTATAAAACATGTTTAACAAACTATTTAAAACAATTAACTAAAAATATAATTTTTAAAATAATTAATAAAATTATTTTTAAATTTTTGAATATAATGATTCATGTACCACCATGTCTTTTTCAATTTGATCTAATGACACACAACCTATGACAAAACAGTTTTATTAATAATTTATATCGTTATTTAGATAAATAATTATTAAAATAAAAAAAAAAAAAATGCATAATAGTATAAAATAAACTGTCTTTTATAAAATATGGATGTTTATGTCATTATTACCTGTTAAAGCCATTGTGTTATCAAATTCATTAATGACTATATTCAAAACTTCTTCTGCACCTTTTTGGCCATTGAAAGTTAAGCCCCATAGTATAGGTTGAGCCAAAAATACCTAAAAATTAAATTAAAATACTATATAAGTTGACAAAGATTCAATCAATCATCAATATTTACTATATTAATATTTTAATATTACTATTTTAATATTTACTATCAATATATTTATAATTATAAATAATGATTCAAGTACCATTTTGGCACCAAGAGCCAAAGCTTTAAACACATCAGTTCCATGTCTTATCCCACAATCAAGATAAACATCAATTCTATGTCCAACTTCTTTTACAATGCTGGGTAAAGCTTCAATCTAAAATGTAATATTTTTTAGTAAGCAAATATAAGAACGAGGAATATTTTAAAACAAACAAGTGTTACATACTGTAGCTGGAGATGTATCTAACTGTCTTCCACCATGATTGGAAACAAACACACCACTACATCCTAAGTCAGCAGCGATTTTTGCATCAGTTGCATTTAAAATACCTTTTACAATTATAGGTAGGCTTGTAATGCTATAATGCAGTATTTATTAAAACATTTTCTTGTAATATAGACATAAAAACATGTACACATAATTATAAATAATTTATATAGATTTAATAATAACCTTTTCAGCCATTTTACGTCATCCCAAACCAAACGGTCATCAAAAAGACTCATTACATATTTTGTTAGACCAGAGCCAGAAGTATTGTTCATTTTCGACAACTCATTGGAAAAATTACCTAATCTTAAATTTAATTCATCAAAATAAATATTATTTTCATAATAGCATTATTGTTTTACTTTAAATGACTTGGCAAAGTAAAGTTATTTTTTATGTCTTTGTACCGAATACCAAATACAGGTGCATCAACAGTCAATACTAATGCTTTGTACCCAGCTTTTTCTGCTCGCTTTATTAATGATGCAGTTAAATTTCTATAAATTAAATAATTATGTAATTATAATGCCAAATTATTTGTAAAGTTATCAACAAATGGCTTGTTACCGATCTTTATAAATATATAATTGAAACCATTTTACAGTATCAGGTGCCTTTTCTGCTACCTCTTCTAAACTACATGTAGATAATGTAGAGAGTATGAAAATTGCACCATGATTTCCAGCAGCTAGGTAATTTTTAATCATGAATTATAAATTAAAAAAATTATTTTTTAGTACCTCTAGCAGATCCACATTCTCCATCTTCATGAGCCATTTTATGCATTGCACAGGGAGATACACCTATGGGGACTTTTACCTGTACACCTTGAACAGTTACACTCAAGTCTCGGTTTTGTACATCCCGTAGCACTCGAGGTACAATACGTAATCTTCAGATAATATTAATAATATTATTAGTTAATAACAAAATTAATTAACGTATATTTTTACTTATTAAATGCTTTTTTGTTAATTGAAAGGGTGTATTCTTCACATGCACCACTTTGATAATAGCCTAAAACCATTCTTGGTAATGTACCAGCAGCATATTTTTCAAAATCTTCGACACAAGTAAATTTATTAGACATCTTGTTGAACTTAATAAACATCAAATAAAACACTAAAACTAAACAAAATTCACCTAGTGTCTTAGTATTTGAAGTACCATAAAATATTAGATAAAGTACTAATTTAATTAAAAAACATAGATAAGATACAGATAATTGGACTAAAGGTGAAAGATTACTTATCAGAAAATTTAAATATTTATTACTATTGATAGTACTTATTCTTGTTTTAATAGTTACTTGTAAATATATAAATAAATACAATTTTAGTCTGGAGTATTATTTTATTTGTAAAATATAACTAGTGTCTAATTAAAAACGTCACCATCAGGTATATACAATTCTAGTAACATTGAGAATGAATATGAAACAACGTAAAATCAAAATTAGAAAATTGATAAATTTATGAGTATTAACCATTTTTAATTCTTATAAATTTTTTATTATTTATTCGTGACTAAATTTGAATTAAGCTTAAGAAAACAGTGATAAACGAAACAACTATTAACATAGATTAAATATACCAGTATATTTAATCTATTCTTATCAATCACTAATTATCAACATAACATATATAACTTTCACTTTCATATATATTCCTTAAAACTTTTATTATACATAATTATGTATCAACTATTAACATTGAATATGTTATTTAACTTAAAAATAAAAAGGAAATAATAAAAAGAGAAGCAAACAATAAAAAATAACAACACATAGTTTAATTTGCATAGTTGTATTACAAAATAAAACAAAATATTGTTATTTGTACATCGTACAAGAGGAAACAATCAGTCGAAGTAGATTCTTATTCAAATAGACCTGAAAATAAAAATATATATTAATACTTATTGTAATAAGGAGTAGTGGTGTACAGTATAGTAAATACTATTATATATACACACAATAGAAATTAAAAAATATTGATTATCAGAGGTTTTTCATTTAAGGCCTTAAAAGATAAAATGTTATATACACTGGAAGTTTGTGTGCAACAATTTTGTTGCTTTAAGACATAGGGGATGATATCTTTGTGGACTGTGATTTAGCCACAGAGGTTGATCAGATCAGAGTTAAATTAGCAACAATGCATGTTTACACTGCTGTTTATTAAAACTTGGAAGTTTGAAATACAAATTAAATTAATAATGCATGAATTGAATTGAAGAAAAATAATTATTAACAACTTACCAAAGCCCATGTCGTCATCTTCTTCTTCACTTTCCTCTTCCTTCTTCTTTTCTTCTTTCTTTTCTACCTTGGCTTCATCAGCTGGGGCAGCAGCTAAATCAGAAAATTTGTTTCTTAATACTTATCATACATTTTTTTTTTTATGGTAATAGAAATAGAAATTAATATTATAGTCATACCTGCAGCACCAGCAGCAGGCGCAGCACCTACAGCTGCTCCAATGTTGGTAATTAAGTCCTTGACATTGGCGGTTTCTAAAGCCTTAGCGAATAAACCAGGCCAGTAAGGTTCAACTTCAACATTGGCAGCCTTGAGGATGGTTTGGATTTTCTCTCCCTAAATAAAATAACATCACATTATTGTTATAAATATTGAAATAATTAGTAAATAAATGCTATTTTTTTACTTTTTTAACGATTGTAAAAAATAAAATCCGATTAAAACAACTAAAACTAAAGACAATAAGTTGCAAATATTCTCAGTAAAGGAGAAAATATCAACACAAGATCAGTAAAGCTCGTTTTATTAACAATGGTTTCATTCATACAGACAAGGATTTTATAATAAATCCTTTGCAGAAATTGTACTTCTAATTTTTATTCAGCTGGCTTTCAGCATAAATAAGAAACGTATTATTGCTGTGTTCATTTTGTAGAAGTATGAAATTACATTGAAATCAAAAATCATTTTTATTGATATATTGGGTGCACTCAATTAATAAAAGGAGAAATTGAATGTAAGTATTTAAGTTTCTTTAGAAAAACTATTTGTAGATGCAAATACATTTATAACTACTTTAGAATGAAAAACATATAGGTAATTATTATACTTCAAGAACTTGACAGTGGACAGCTAACAACTGTGAAATATGAAAATAAGTATGTAGGCTACAGCTAAAACATACTTATCTGTCATCGACATGGTTGTTTAACATTGTCTCTATGAAAAAAAAAAAAAAAAAACTGTCAACAGATACAGATAATGGATAAAACCAATGTGTGAAATGAACATAAAGTTTTTGAATAAAATATACGATCTTTAACACAAGATATACAAGTGGAATAATCAACAGTTACTCTGAATAAAATATGGACATTACACAAGATATGAAAATAGAACTATCATCAATGTCAAAACAATTTGACCAATAGTGTTTCCAGAACTATTAACTAGTTGTTCGAAATATATGTGTTAAAAACTATAACAGATATTAAATCAAATTTTATAAAAAAAGGTCAGGAACATGGTTTACACATTCAAACTGCTTCAATGGTAAGTAGAATTAAATCCTAACAGAGCATGGTAAATTAACAGAGAAACATTGGACCATCAATACAATTTTAGATTAAAAAACAATCCTGTAGCGGATGTGTTGAGTATAGTTAGAGGAGCAGTCGGACGGTGGACATTTGAATACAAGTTTTGAACACGTGCCCACCTTAATGGCCAACTGGGTTGGGATCAAGATGCCGTAAAGAAGTTCGAATTAATTAGAAAAATTGAAAGCCATCGGGAACACACGTCGACACTTGAGATATTGAGATTAGGCGACAACCATGTTCTCTGAGAGCGCGAGGTCTGTGGTATCAACGTGTTGGCCTACGGACGGTGGCTAAGGCACAGAACACAAGCAAGAATATTTACCGTGACATCGATGTCGTCGTCGGCCAAGATGAGCGCGGAGTAGACGCAGGCTAATTCTGGTTTGGAGATGGCCATGGTAGATGGATGGAAACGGATGAAAATACGAAGTGCCTGAAATTTTGCAAGTCGCCGACGGCCTTAGCTCGGTTGAGAACAAGCAAGTGACGCTACGGCAAAAAGTGATTATCGCCGTCGAACGTGTGTGGAGGGGATAAGCGGCTATAATGCAGTGCTTGATCAGTGTAGCCAACGTGATCTCACCGATACGAGACAGTTCTCCAGAAATGTGATAACTTAAAATGGATTAATGTAATTTGTTGTCCATACCAACTAATAAAAGTTAAAAAATAATCTTAACGAAATTTAAAAAACATTATATATCATGGATAGAACAACGGTCTTAGAAGATAAGATTTTCTAAGACCGTGGATAGAACCATAGATATTTGCGTTTCCAGAAATTCAAAATAAATTATTTTTGTGTTTCAAAATAAAGAACAAAATATTTATTTGTCTATCACTTAGTTCTTATCGTAAGACCTGTTGAAAATACACCAATAGTAATTTATATTTGCTCAAGTCACAATTTGTAATTTAACACTAAACGTTTTCAAGTCACGTCAGTATTAATTCATGTCATAATTCATAATTTTATTGTTAAATTTAAATTTAAGTATTTTAAACTATTAAAATATTTTGAAATGAGTGATATTAAAGAAGAAGACTGGAATTTGCCACCATGCAAATATGAATGTGAGATTCGTCCTAAGTGTTATTGTATTATAAGTTACGGTTTGGTCACAAATGTAAGTTAGTTTGAGTATTGAAATTATTCTTTTACTTAGACTTCTGTTTAAAATAATAACTGATATAAAATCACATATTTAAAATTAAAATGTTGCTGAATACACAATGGATAAACAACTAATTAATAACAAAGGTTAGGTTAGTTAGATTTTGGTAAATAAAATAAAATATTGATTTGTTTGATTTTCATTGGTAAATTATATAACAAAATAATTCAAACAAACTATTTTATATTCCATAGACAATATATCAATATTTCTGAAAATTATTAAAAATTAATTTTATTTTGAAGAATTAAAAATGTTTTTGAAAATAATCTATATTTAACAATATAAATTAGTTGCATTTGTGATTGGATTGTAGAATTGTATTTAATGTCTCATAAAATTAATTATTTGGATGAAAATATATGATCATAAATATTTTAGAAATATTTGAAAATATTGTTTCATTTTTATGAAAAAAATTAGTATATTATCATTTATAAAATGTAAAAATCTACCGGTTTTCAAAATACAATTTTTAATTTTATGGCTATGTAACTATTATTATTGTAGTAAAACTGTATATATCTTTTAAAACATTCTTGATAAATATTTATGAGATAATAAGAGAATTTATTTGTTTATTTTTGATGATTTATTGAAAAATGTATTGATTTATTAAAAAAAAAAAAATGTTATGACTTAGTTATATATGGTTACTAGTGATATGCTTAAGGAAGTTATAGGTTACACCCCCTGCCATCCAAAATATTTATTTCATTTTTTAAAATTTACAATTATTTTAAGATAGGTTTAATCTGGAATTATTATACATCTAATGTAACATTATTATAAGACTGGTGACGGGTTAAATAACTTGCTAAGCAATATTAATTTTTAAATATATAAGTTATTTTTATTCTTATGTATGTAAATAAATATATTTTTTAAGTCTGTATTAATTCAGTTTAAATAAACTAAATAATAACACATTTTATATTTTAACTTATGTTATATCGACTTATTAAAATTAAAATGTTGGTACTTTTGTTAGAGAGAATTGAAAATTTTTAACTCCCCTGAAATATTTTTCTGGTTATACCATTGGATATAGCAATAGGTTATATGAGTTTTGTACTATAATATTATCAATTTATTTTTTAGTTCAAAATGTCTTTATTTGTTTTAGATTTGGACCATACGGCAGATATTCAGTAAGTATATTGATAAATTAACTGTTATACTTAATAGTTTAGTTCTTATAAATATTTTTAGCAGGGCAGTGATTTTAATGCAGTTCTAGGTTTTTTTTTTTTTATATCTTGTAGAAGAATCTGAATCTAGATTAAATGTATTTTGTATTATATACAGAATGTATATACAAAATCTTAAATTGCTATTTCTTTTAATTCAAAATAATTATCATGTTATTTTAATAGAAAATATTTAGAGATTCCTTAAAATTAAAAATGTACATTTATTATGTTCAGGGCCGTGCCTAAGGGGGTGCGAGAGGTGATGTGCACCGGGCGCCATTTACCAACGGGGTGCCAAACGAATTTAAGTAATATTAATGTAAAATTCAACATATTAATTATGTTAAAGGTTCTCTCCATGTTTACATATTATCATCTTTAGAAGTGTTTGTACGTTGTACATGTTGACAAAAATGTTTAATGTGAAAAATAAAGTAAATCTGATGAATCTGTCTCCGGCTCTCCAATAATGTTATGTAGACTTTTTATAAGTATACAAATATTTGGTAGAGAGGTGAGGGTGCTAGAAATGATTCTTGACACTGGGCGCTGATTATGCTAGGCATGGCACTGATTATGTTAGTACAATAAATTTACATTCCTGGTAATTAGTTAATTATTATAGGAATTTTTATTATGAATATATAATTATAACTTAGGTTTTTAATTTTACAGAATACATGCATGGGGAGATACTTTGACTGAAGCATTCGAACAATGTGCCAATGCCATGTTTCATTATATGACAGAGGTTGATTATATAGAGATGAGAGAATCTTATGATATAGAAGTCGAAGGTCATGATATGGTAACACTTTTATACAATTTTCTTGATGAATTATTATTCATATTTAGTGCTGAACCTAATTATATTGCAAGAGTAAGCTATCAATTATAGTTTTACATTTCTATAGACCATATAATTGTTATTATGTACTTAATTAATGTAAATATTTCAATTTAGAAAGTAAAAATAGAAGAATTTGATACCACAGCTTTCAAAATTAAAGCAAAGGGGTTTGGCGAAGAGTTTCAACTTGGAAAACATCCTCAAGGGACAGAAGTAAAAGCTATAACATTTGCAAATATGCAAATACACGAAAATGAAGGAAAATGTGAAGTATTTGTTATTTTAGATATTTAATAAATAATTTGTTTATCATTTATAATTGTTATTGAAAACAAGTTGTAAATTAAATAATTAAATTGTAATACTTAAAATTTAATTGAATGCATTTAAATTGATTACATAACAATAGTTATGAATAGAGCACGGATTTATATGCATTAAAAACCAACAAAATATTCGTTAAAAAACCCTAAATATGCATAAAAATATACACTAAAATGTTAACAAATTTTAAATTGTTATAATATGAAACAAATTTTGTGCTCACTTAGCATGTCATATGATCAACCAGAATAAATATTTAAATGCATACAAATCCGCGCTCTAGTTATGAATGAATAATTTTCTAACATGAAAAATAAATAATGGTCCATAATCATTTTGAAATAAATGTAAATATTGTAATGATAATTTTGAAATTATATAATCTTTGTTATGCAAAAAGAATTTAAAGTTTTTTTTTTTTACTAAAAAAAATATAAAAATTGAAAATTAGATTTTTGTTAGGTTTGTTTTAAATTGGACCATTATATACGAGTATTGTAATTACTCATTATAAGTTTGTGTTTGTGATACTGTTTATAGTCTATTCAAAATTAGATCGGTACCCAGTGGCAACCAGTTTTCGTTTGAGTTAGACAGTGTTCCCTATCATCGATTATAGTCAAGCTGTGCCAAGAAACAAAACCACGGTTCATGTACAGTACTTAGTCTGCTAAGTACCATCTTACTTTGAATCTACTGTTTTATCATTCAACAAAAAGCTTACTGAAAATAATTTACAATGAATAGAGCTACCATAAATTAACATATATTATTTAATTAACAGTGTTTTTTATAACAAGTTTTTGTTGAATAATTTTTTCTCCTACTAATTTTTTTTGTAAATTTATTAAAAGCGATGTGAGGGTTCAAAAGTTAAGAAATCCAGTCTGTTGATGTATATTTAAAAAGCTGATAACAATTGAAATCATACCATGTTTATTTTTATTTTGTATTCAGATCTTTTATTTTTTATAAATTTATTTTTAATCTATGCTTCAATGCATAGTTAGCAAATATAAAATAGAAAATTATAAAGATATAAGAATAAACAATGATATTCATAAAGTGAGAGGCCCATTCAGTGATACAACCAAACATTAACTTGTTCACCGATTTCATACATAGTATGCATTTTGAATTATAAACAACTAAACAACATTTAATGAATATAATTAATTTAAGATTGTTAACTAAAATTATTATAGGCAGAATATATTAGAATTATTTGATGTTGTATATTACTATATTGTTGTGTGTAGAAATATTTAGTATTGAGTATAAGTCAGTTTAAGACTGTCAGCAGCAATTTAACAGTAGATAGTTAAACATTCACTTCGCCTAAAACCTATATTAGTTAATAAAAATAATTGCTTAAAATATACTTTTTGCTAACTTCAGTTCTTTTTGCCCTTAACTATATGTCAGTTTATTATTTTGAAACTGGAATCATTATACATTGTTACCTAAAGATTAAATAATATATACGTTTTAGCAGTTTTTAATTCAGTCAACTTTAAACACAATTATTATAGTTGTCAATATATAAAATTCAAGAAATTATGTCGAAAAATAATTTTGACAGTGAACAACAGTAATTCTAGAAAAAAAAAAATCTTGTAAGTTATTAATAGCTGTCAAATATTAAATTTTCTTAGATCCAAAGTTCGATATGCTTTAATCAGATACAGTGATTAAAATAAAATGAGTTGTATTTTATTATTTATAATTTATTTAATGTGCCTAATTAAAATAAATAACATAGATACATGATAAGTAAAATGTGAAGAAATGTATGAAAGATGAAATATTATTTTAAATTAAAATTAAAATAAATTGAAGTAACTTTAGTTTTTCATAGGTGAGATGTTATTTGCATTACGAACGTCAGAGGACAAGTAAAAAGTTAAACGCCAAAAGAATTACTGTCTAATGAGTTTTTAATGGATTAAATAATGTGTTATGAATATTAAACTTTTTTTCTCGTTGTAGTTATTCCTTTATAGGTCTCTACTTGAATTATGAATGTTATGCACATAATGTGATATAAAAGCTATGATTACATTTTTAATAATTATTGGAGGATATTTAAAATTCGAAAATTTGAGATAAAAATCTCAGAATTTAAAAATAGTCTCGACATTTCCGAATGGACCATTATGAGAATAATATTTTTATATGCTCGAAAATGAATAAAATGCCCTTTAAATGCAAATTTATAGTTTATTATCAAACCCTCCGATACATGAGTCGATTTATGTAATTAGAAAGTATTGTACTAAATTAGGTATAAAAAATACATTTCACATTCATACATGGGCTCTTAGGAACTCTTAATTTATAACCATAGAACTGTACCTATACCATTACAAGTGTAATAGAAAATTTTTCTTTTCGTAAATATTAAAGGTATGTATTTTCAAAGGTTAATGTCTTTATAATTATGAAAGTATCACTGAAACTTCATTATAAAATATAAAAAAAAAATACATAAAATTACAGCCAATGGGGACGCGAGAACTTTAGACATGCAGTCACTTATATTTGTATATTATATACCTTACCTATATTCAGTGGCGTACATTCAATTTTGCTCTGGGAGGAAGGGTTTAACTAAAATAATCATTATCTTTTTTTTTTCATTTCCCAGATAAATAATTGCTATAAATAGATATTATTTCATACAAATTATTTACCAATTTACAGTTTATTTTTACATTACAGTTAATTAATAGCTATTGGAATAATAATAAAAATAATAAATAAATATTAAATAATAATAAAAACAGCATAGTTAATACAACTTTTCAAACACCAATCAATATAATTATTTAATTATTATAAATTATAATAATTATAATTAAAATGTATAATATTTGTATAGTTGTATATTTTAAGTTCAAAGCGTGATAATGAAACTATGAATATATTATATTTCATGTCATTAATAATAAAACAATTTTTTTTTTTTGGTCCTGGGTGTTTGAATCCAAACCCCCCTCACCCTGTATGTACATCACTGCCTATATTCTAGAAATCTGAAATACCAAATTGTGTAGAATCGTATTACTTGTAGTTTTCCAGTTCATTAATCTACAAAGATATTATAGGGGTGAATTTTGTGATTGACTAAATACATAATTATTAATTAAAATGAATGAATTCTTAATAAATTTAAATTTTTGTATTAAAACTCATAACCAAGTACCTATTAGTTGAAAAAAATTATTAAGTGACATTTTGATAAATTAAATATATTTTAGAGTAAATTTTCGTAGCTCAATTAAAATAACAGATTCGGTTGGCAGCGGGTACCCCATCTATCTTAAATCTTGATGTATATCTTTTCAAAACCATAATTTTTAGTTTTTATCTGAAGTAGATGATTAATTTTTGAATGACAGACAAATTTATACTTTCATACAAAAATCAGTCATAGCAATTAGAGAATCAGATATTAGATAATCATGTTGGATTATAACGATATATTTAATGAATCATTACGGTAAATACCTTAATGATTCATAAATTTATGTAATGTGTATTTATACAATCTTATTAAATGTGTTAAATTGTCTATTAACACCATATATTTACATGCTTTTAAACTTTTAAATCATTCATAGCCAAATACACCCCACGTAAACATTCTCGTTTCCCAAAGGCTTAACATCCCACTTTTCCTGCATTAGACAAATTATTACTATAAATATGCATGAGTAATATGATGTGTAATTATATTGTTGACATTATTATTTATTATAATACAGGTATAGGTTATATGCATAATAAATTACAGTAAAAATACTTTTATTTAGATTTATTATCCAAAAAAATTTAAATTATTAATATTTCATTATAGATTTAAACTAATTGGGTATATTATGTTATGAAAAGTGTTGGATTTAAAGCTTGATGTATGTGTGCGTTTGCCTTTTGGGATGGGAAGAAGGAGAATACATTTTTATTACATATGTTTTTATTTTAATATATATCATGGGTGATTAGTGGTTATCAGGGGGCTAAGCCTCCCAAAGCGCCCGGATATCCGTCAATGATTCGTCATAGCTTATTCAATGAAAATGAAAAATATTATAAGTTGTTATCTATATCTGAAAGATGAACTAAAAAAATATTTATAGAAATAAATACCTAAGGTATAAATTATTAATAAGTTTATTTGAAGTAAAATGAAGTAAAACGTAAATTTAAAACTAAAATAAATAAAACTATATAAAAATTAAAAGATTCTTAGATACCAATTAAATATAAATATGTTGAATTAAATTATTACCTTGAAAATGTTCTACTTATTATATTTATGAAAAATAAAATAAAAATATTTTACAATGTGTATACAATTTTAACTTTAGCAATTAACATGTCACAAAATATGATGCTTATCTCATGACATTCAACTTATTAAGGTGTCACATGCTAATTTTTTTTTGTTAAAAAAATAATTGGTAAATTTACGAAAAATTTAAGAAAATTGTTAATTGTTTTAAGACTTAATAATTTTATTAAATCATTACAAGTACATTAAAGATCTATATTATACATTGGATCTACAATTAAAAGATATTAGATATTTAATCTTCAATTCGGCACATAATACGTATCAGTATATTATGTTTAATAGATCTACATAATATTTACTACCGTTAATTATATTTATTAAATTATATATTGGGTTAATTAATGAAATAAACAACTTTACTAAAGTTTTCTTTCGCCGTTGGAGTTATCACATAAATGTTTGGTGCTGACGTTTGAGACTATACTTGTATTTGGAGTTGAAAGGTTCGGGTGAGAGATGATAAAAAAACTATATTCTCATACACCTACTATGCCAGTTTGGATGTGATCTTTTTATTTTTGGAAAATTGTGGTTATGATTTATTTTTAAAGTTGTACACAAACTATTAAAATATGAAATTAGCGGCTAAAACTATTATTTTTTTTTTAAATTTAATTTTAGTTTTGATTATTATTATTATTTTTCATGATTTCAAATATGATAATATTTATAAATAACTCCGTATTAAATAAGTACATAAAATTAAATCAACCGATAAACAAGTATGAATCATCAATTAGGTGGGTACCTAGTATATGTTATTCTAGTACTTACCTACTCTATGTTTAAATAAATATTTTTAAGCCAAAACAATTATAATTAAATAATTACATTGAAACAAATTACATACATACCTCTTTCATACTGTTTCTAAGGTAGGTCTTTATTGTTTTTAAACCAGAAAAAGATCATTCTGGCGTTTAAGTAGAAACAGGGAGATAACACAAAATTTTAGTAACATATA